AAACAAGGGCTCCATCCGGGTAGTGTCCATTGGAAGGGCAAAAAGAGATGTTTCAGAGAGAGAACCCACTGGATACGGTGACGGATAAGATGTGTAACTGACCAGGAGCTGGCTGTACAGATCACTTCGAAGCTGAGGAAAGGTAAGAGAGATGATGATGATGATCATCATCATCTCATGAAAGGGGCCAGAAGGCAGGGGGGGAACAGGTTTGTGGAGGAAGTGTAGTTTTACACTTCCTGAGGTGGCGGGATCCTTGGGGAGATGGCCTCTCCCAGCGCCCGTTGTCTGTCTGTGTGTCCTTCTCTCCTGGCCCCATCAGACTCCACCTGCATTACTGCCCCTTGCATGTGATGGCTTGGAGAGGGCATGGCAGGGCCCAACTCATTTTCACACACTTGCCCTGTGCAAAGTAGAAGGCTCAACCATGTGCATTAAATTAGCCTGTGACTCACACCTCTTCACATGATGGGCCTTCGGGGAGTGGTGGCAAAAGCCTCCCGTCACACTGAAAGGCTCTGGGGTGACTTTGAGGACAACTTCTTGTTTCCCAATGCTCATTTGTCTGCTGCTTTTCTCCACCGCTGCCCTGGTGACACCGGCGTGTGACAGTGAAGGTAACCACTCACTGGTCCTTCTTACGTGAGGAGCCTAGGAAAGGTCCGACTCACGCAACACACTCCAGTCTCTGTGAGCCTCAAACAGCCCACCAGGGAGCTTCACTGCCTCCTTGCAACTCTGCGTCTGTCACAGCCTCCAGGAGGCAGGCAATATCTTAAAGATGGGGAAAAAAATGCTGCCTAGAATTGAAAGTGAAAACTATGTGAAAAGCCAACGGTGGGAATGGAAAAATGCTTCCTAGCATCTTAAAACACCTCATGCTACCGAAAGAAATTATCTATTATCCTGAAGTGAGCACTTGAGTGTACTCACTGAAGCATTTGGAGAATTTAAAACACTGTTTTTTAAAAAAAGAAAATAGAAGAAGGTCAGTGGAATAAGGCTGTACATGAACGCAATATTATGTTTTAGACAGAAAATGCCAAAGAAATGTTCATATGTGGTAATAATAATGCTCTCTCCCAAGCTCTCAAAATTACCAGACAAAAACAACAAATCTATAAGCGGGGCAGAAGACAAATATTGTCTTTCTTTAAGACCTAGCTACATGCCTTGTAGACAATTTGCCTCCTTATACCAACACAGAGACACATTCCTGAAAAACAGGTTCAAAATTGGGTAACTAGAAATGACCTAAGAATTAATTAACTAAATAGGAGTTTGAAGTAAACAAAGAAAAAACTACCATATCAAAATAAAAGAAAAGAAACATGATTAAATTAGGCTTCAAAAGACCCGTGAGAAACTCATAAAAGGCATAATATGCATTTACCTGGTTTTTATTCTTTCATGATTTAATTTCTAATTTTATTCACTACCATCTGATAATTGCACGAAACACTTATTCTAACCATGGGCAATTTAGACTATTTTAATTTTTATTTCAAGGCCACGAGACTAAGGAACCTATTTATTGCCTAAGGGGATTTTTTTTTTTTAACAAAAATTAAAGCTTTATCTTTCATGTTTTAAAGCATAGACTGTTTAAAATCATTTATAATAATGCTGTAGGGAGACTGTTCCTGGGTATGCAAAATGGAAATGATAAATTTACGATTATTAAAAAAATTAATAGTTTGGGGGATTGAATTGTCCCTTTTCTTTCTAGATGGATTTGTCTGAAGCATAAGAGGCACATTTAAAAACAGGTAAAACCAAGGTCTTTGCAGGCAGAGTGGGATGAGGCTGCAGACCATTTCATAGTTTAACTGGACTTGTTAATGGTACAATCGTAAGCCCTGTTTTTTACTATTTAAAAAAAAATAATGGCATTGGCCTGGGGAACTGCTTCCTACCCCTTTTATTTCACAGGAAATTGCTCTGATGAAGTGGAGAGTCATGAATTCTACTAACCACATTTTCTGTGACTTTCAAAAAGTCCCTGATGGAAATTAGACAAATAATTTACTTTCACTTAAACGCCAGATTTTTTAGTTACACTTAAGAAAAATAATTGAAATGTAGATTTAAATCGTTTCGGCTGCTCCACTTCAGGATTCTAATGAAATACTTTCAGCTATTATGCAAAGCATCCCTCAACAGAGGAGAGAGAAATCACTCTCAATGATACCTCAGTTAGCAGAATTTACAGAAGGGCAGAATGCCACTTAAAGAGCGAAGGGAAGGACACTTGGCCAGTGGTGGGTTTTGACAGGAGCAGGAAGAAAGAAAATATATTTCAGGAGACATTTTCTCTTTCATTAAGGTCTCAGGAAGAAACTGAAATGGTCAAATATGTTTCAAGTTCCTTAAATACGTACTTCGGCCTTCTTCCTGGGCTGTTGGAGTACCCGCATTTTTATGAAGGTTACAACCTATCCGTGCTCCTGATCATATTGGACAGAACTGTGTGGATCCATGGACGGGGACCCCACCCCTCACCCTACCCTCTGCCCTCCTCCCTCTGCTCAGCACCACGACTTCCTTGCCAGTTTGCCATCACACCAAGCTCCCTTCTGCCTCATGGCCTTTACACCTGCTCTGTCCTCAGCCTCAGTGTCCCTTCCCTAGATATCTCTATGCGGCTTCCTTCTCTTTATTCAGGGTTCTGCTCTGGTGCCACCTTTTCAGGAGGGAAGCCTCCTTCAGTCCCCGTCACTCTCGCCACCTTTTTCTGCCTGATCTCCCTTCACAGCCCCTGCCTCTCACACACAGGGCACACGCTCGGCTTATCATCCGAGTTCCCCTAACACACTGGGAGCCCCCCGAGAGCAAGAAGCACGTCTGCTCTGTCCCCTCCGGTGGCCCCAGCACTGAGGGCAGTGCCCAACACCAGACAGCCACTTAACGATTATCTGTCAATTACATCACCCACATTGATCAGCTTACATCCTCGTCTGTCCTTCTTCTTAAACTGACCAGTCTTCTCTTAAAGAAAAATGAAATGTTCGAAGATTAATTCTGATTCTGGGGAACCAAGGCACATTCCAGCCCAAATATCACAATGGAAGAATATGTGTTAATAAAGTCAAAGGACCCCTCAGAAGCAAACAACAGGCCACATACCCTTAACTGAAATGTCCATTAATGATAATGGTTTGCCTTTGGAATAGCAGAATAATTTTAATGGAACTATATTAAATATACCAAAGTTAGATTCTTTAAGGGCTGATGGTCCACGCTTTGGGCTATCTGGCTCCTTGCCATATAAGGAAAAGAGTTTTCATAAGAAAAAGAGTTTTCTTTTTTCTCTACCTTATTACCGATGATTTGGTCATTTTCTGTTGGTTCCTCTCAAAAGCGAGAGAAGATGAAGGCCAAGGTCGGAAAAATTTTTGCCAAAATAAAGTTAATATTGCTTCCTCTTAAAGAGCTAATTGTCTTCATTTTTATATAAACAAAGTGTTCAGATTTTCGAGTGATTTTTAGTTTTTTCTCCCAAACAAAACATAGTTAAAAATAGCAGCTTCTGACTAAAGATACAATGAAATGCATGTCTAATACTCTGTGTTGTTTTAATGTAATCATTTTATAGTCCTCATAGGGTAGATAAAAATTATTCTTTAAGAAAATACTTTTCAATCTGAACTATAAAACAGATAAATGTCAAATTTTTAACTTGTTTTAAAGAAAAATCATTATTATTTTTATAAAGGGGAATTTATCATGTCAAAAATGTTTATTTCTCAAAAAACGTCACTAAAGGATTTATTTAAATAGCAAGTTTATGTATTATTGCATTCGAGCTATAACTTAATTTGCAGAAAAAAACTGTTATTGCATAAAACGAGACCCACATATAGTAACGGCACATTTTGGAAGACATTTGAAGAATGAAATCAATGCACCTATGTGCTGTTGCTATGAAATTACCACACATTAAGGATAAATTTCCCAGCCTCTCCTGAACATCTGTTAGGTGTCTCCCTCTAAATTGTACTCAGAGGGAAATGTACTAGATACACTATGTTTTTTAACCAAACCCAGGACTATTGCTTTTGAGCCTGCCACAGGTTCAAGGAGCAGGCTTCTCTGCTCCTTGAAGTCTAGAGCCTTCAGAAAGCTGGTCTGCAGTGTGCTGCAGCTCTTTCCTTTTCCATTTTTTCTGAAAGAAGACCCCTCACTATCATATAAAAGTTTTTTCAACACTTAGCTAATCTTTCGGGCATAGCCCATTGAGGGTCATGGGACTTGCAAAGTTAGAAGGGAGCTTGGAGATTGTCCAGGCCAACTCCTCCGTGCACCAGAGGAGGTGAGATCATCCCTTACAGTCTAGAAAATTCAGAGAGCAAGAAAAGCCAGCGAAACATTTTTAAAAAAACAAATCATGGTATCTAAGCAACCACATTACGTCTGGCTTGTATGAAGAGAAAAATGGCATCTGCCTTTGAATAAGGCAACAAAATTTCTGAGGAAAAAGACTTTAAATTACACAGCCCAGAACATGACCATAAATGAACAAGGATGGTCCTCTCCAGATGGTTGATTTTAAAAATCAAACGTGAAGGATGGAGCTGGTGTGAAATATAACACTGGAATGATTAGGGAGTTTGAGATTTAACAGAGAATTCTTAAATTGCTTTAAAAAAAAAAAGGAGAAAAAAGCATGACTAAGAGACTGTGACGCTTCATAATGGTGAAGACTTAATGAGGATCGAATGGACAACATAGGCATTTTTTACACAAAACCAGTGTGTGAGAATCACTAACAGGGTGGATTCTCTCACAGAAAACTTTTTCTCATTTTATCCTTGGAAAATCGCACACACACATGCAAACTTTGTTTCTTTAAAAAAAATTTAAAAAATGAAATAGCCCCAACGCCCAGTGCAGGTTCCCAGGCCGTGTCTGGACACAGCCCCCCTGCACCTGGCAGCCGGGTGCGTGCAGACCTGCGTGCTGCTCCCCCTCGTCCTCTGATGGGGAGGAACCCCCCTTACCGGGACTGGTGAGGGCTCCCAGGGCGCTGCTCGTGGTGGAGAGAGGATTTGCGTTGGTGGTGGTGGCTGAGGTCTGGGCCGCGGCTGCAGCCGCCGCCAGCGTTGCCAGATTCTGTAACTGTAACGCATTCATGCCTGTGGAGGGAAGAGAAAGCAACATCAGCCACAGGCCCACTTTGCCACCTTCCAACCAAGAGAAGGCAGATGACAAGAGCAGAAGGCCTGGGGCAGCAGGCCCTGCGATGGCTCGCTTGGCCAGCTCGAGCTGCCTTGGTGACTCGTGCGTCACTGGAGGTCTCCTCACTGTGGTGCTGCCTGTCCTAACCACGGCACTCTTCCCAGCTGCTCCTCTCAGGCTGGAGAGGTCACCAGAAAAGACCAGCAGATCTCTCTGTGTGGACTGGCCTTCTACCATGTCACTGTCAAGAAACAACGAGATGTGGGCCTGGACAGAGGAAGGAATGGCTCAGGGTAAACGCTCAGTCCCTAAACCCACAGCTGCCTGTACAAGCGACTACAGAGGAAATGACACTTTATTGGTGAAAAGCTCTTGCCCTGAAGTTGAACTGACATGGCTCCCTGGCTCTGCCACTTGAACCGCTGCGTGACTCTGGGCAAGTGACTTAACCTCTCCATGTCTTGCTAGGTGAGCAGTAATATTAACTGCACCGTACCTAGAAGGGTTGCTGTGCAGACTAACTAAGGTGACGAATGCAAATAACTTAACACGTGACTGACCCAGTGTAAGCACCCAATAAATGTTAGGGACTACTGTGGCTGTTATTATTATTGCCACTGAACTTCTCTCTCTCAAGACTAATTCTAAATGTGAACTCTAAAATGTATCCCTAGTAGCAACTCCAATAATATTTGATGAATAAAAGAATGAATGAATAAAAATGGCAGTGGCTTAACATTTTTATTTGTAAAATATTTGTATTTGCCTTTTCAAGGTATTTGTATTTTAAGGAGGGACTACTTCTAATTAGAATGAATCTCTGGCTAGCGAAAATTCAGAAATGAATAGAAAAGAGAAATGAAACTTTGTAAGAACATGAGAGCGGGATCAGCTGAGAGACCTGAGGGGCTGATCTGTCATGGGAGGCTGGCTGTGCCTGCGAGGCTTGGGCCTGGTGTCTCTGCTACAGGCATTTTTAGTATCTTCTCTCCTCCCCCTTCTATCTCTCTGAACATTCAGAGGTTCTCTGAACATTCTAAGTCTTTCTCCATAATTCATTCACACTAACGTACATTCAAGAAGCAGGAAACAATGGTTCTCTCTTCATACAGAGGAATTTTATACGGAAAGATACTGGAGTTAAGTAATCAGCTTAATTTTACTTTCTTCTTATGTCTCAAGTCCAGGTACTTAATAAATGTCTATTAAGCAAATTTATTGTGCTTTAGAGAGAGGGCCTAATAACATCTTCCATACGTGCCGGGAGGCAGGGGGAGAGAATGTTCTAGCAACATACCTGTGAAAGCCCCCAGCCCCTGGTGTGGAGCCCTCAGCCTAAGCATGGCTCAGGCCATGGCTGCCAAGCTCACTCATCCTGCTCCTCTATCGTAGCTGCCTCATTCAAGACTTATTTCCACTCAGAAAAGAGTTCTTGATGTCTTTGCTGCAAAATGGTCTCTCATTTTGCTCAGAATGATGATACTCTGTCTTCTTCCAGGAGACATCCAGCCCTGTTAGCTCAAGGTGAAAGCCAAACACCTGTTTTTCAAAACTCACTTAGTTCCTGGGGGTGCTTAGAGGCAGGACACAAGTATTTGTGGAATCCTGTGAATTTAACCCTGCTTTCTCAAGCAAATGCAACTGGGAACCAAGCTTTCTCTCCTTCTCTGATCAAAGGTCAGACGGGGTCAGATTCATGAGAATGTGAGAGCTGAGGAAGCACTGGTCTCATTTCAGGTTTACTTGAGGAAAATCGAACTGGGGGGAATACGGGAGCTGCCTGGCCCTTCGTGCAGACCCTCCTGGACCCAGCTCAACTCCTGAAAGCGGCTTGAACCACTTCCCACTTGAGTGTGACGACAGCCCTGGCTTTGAGATACGTCACGAGGAGTGAGGAACATTTGTACCGACCCATCTGTCCCCTCCTGGCCCTCTTGTGACTCCTTTCCCTCTCATGTTTTAATGATGTAAACCAGATGACCAGACTGCATCACCAACACACGGCTGCCCCGACAACAGAGGGTTTAGCACTGAAATTAAAACCCACCACGCACGTCTGCCACTGAATAACGATAAACAGAGCCACTCTCCCGGGCCCGGGTGGGAGGATCCTGCTCCACAACATCTCAGATCCACCCCAGGCAGGAGCCACGGCACCAGCACAGCAGAATTCCAGGGCTGGAAGGAGCTAAGCCCACTCATTTGGGTCAGAGCCTCAGGTCCTAGGCCGAGCCCTCATACCCGATGGCAGCGGACCCTTCTGAGTCTGGGGCAGCGCTCCAGCCACACCACACAGCCTCCTCCGAGGAAGACTGAGAGTTTGCATTTAACGCGCGCACTTTCTGCATGTTCCTGCAAACTCCTTCATCTCATTGTTCATAACTCTTGTGGCATTCATCATATCTCACTTCGACATTATTTGTACGTATTTCTTACCTTCATAACTAGATACTAAGTTCCTTGAGGACCAAGATGTTGTCTTATTCATTTTCAAGTCCACCTAAACACACATACATGCTGCTGTATAGATAGCAGGTGATGGACGAATCTATGTAGGATGAACGAACAGGGTAACACACAGAATGAAATTTTCATAAACCGCTATAAAGAGTACCATCCACAGACACAACCAAGTTTTTGGTTTTCTCCATTCTTTGTTAGTTCTTCAGTATTTACAACAGCATCAAATATTGACTGTGTTCCTCAGTCATTAGTTAATCCATTCTACAAATATTTATTAGAACCATGCATATTCTTTCCCTTACCCACCAACACTCGTTACAGGTCCTGCAGCCCAGCTGACAACACTCAGCCCTCTGTTCCACTGCCTTCTCCCTTGGGATCCCAGGGCTGAGGCCTTGTGAGTCCCCGCTCAGGGCCCCCTCTGCCTTTCCCCTTCCCACACTTCACCACCCAGGGGGAGCCTGCCCTCCTGTTGAGCCTCTCCCTGACTCCACCTGGAAAGGCAGAGGGATTCGGCTCTGGGGTACCACGTTGTGGGCGGGGGGCAACTCTGTTCAACCACCACACTGCAAGGAAAGGAAAAATATTGGCAAAGGAAGCAGAGAAGAAGAGTGGAAAGGAGAGGCCATTGTGATCCCCAGCATCTGAGGGATGTGAGGAAAAGGAGGAGGGGAAGGGTCAGGGTCAGGGTCAGATGGAGAGAAGCAGCAGGCAGGAGGACCTGCATTTGCCTGCTCATCCATCCATCCATGCGTCCATCCACCCACTCACTCATCTGTCCGTCTACCCACCCATCTGTGCATCAATCCACCTGTTCATCCACCCATCCATCCTTCCATCCACCCATCCATCCAACCTTTCATCCATCCACCCATCCATCCTTCCATCCATCCATCCGTCCATCCACCCATCCACCCATTCGTCTGTCTGTCTTGTCTATTGGTCTGTCTATCTAGCAGTTACCGAGTGGCCATGAGAGCCAGTCCCTGGGCACCGCACTCAGGATTAAGTGGAAAACAAGACAGTCCTTGCCCTGAAGGAGGTGGCTATATATTGGAGCAGGGAGGCAGGAACTAGGGGGTAATCCTACTTCTTCGGTTTCTGGAAACAAGCCCAACTCGTCACGTGTTTTTGGTTTGATGAGGATGAGAGAGAAGCACAGGGAAGCAGCAGGCAGCTGAAGAGCTGAAGGAGGCAGGGGCTTCACAGGAGGACCATGCCCATCCTTCTATCCTAGTCCTTTCCCATCCTTGTGCGCTGACCCCTGCCCTGAGAGGGAGGCTCTCAGGGCGCCCCCTCCTCCCCACTCATTCTCAGAAATAAGTGCTCAGTACTCAAGAGAGTAGACAGCTTCCTTGCCAGCTTTTCTGGGTGACGGCCCCTTTCCCAGCCCCGACTCCCACATTTCTGCTTTTCTCAACGCAGAAGCGTCTCTGTCTTCACCCTGTCCTGTGTTCCTAGGGCTTGGAAGGTGCAGCCAATTAAAAGGAGTGCAGGCCTCCCTCTCTAACACCTGGGTTCAAATCCCTGCTCTGTCTCATCTCCTGCCAACCTCCATCACCTTGAGCAAACTGGCTTAACTGTTTGCACCTCGGAGTTCTCAGCTGTGAAGCGGGACTAAAACAGAACCCACCTCTCTGGGTCGAGATTAAATGCTTCAATACATGCAAAGCTCAAAGAACAATGCCTAGTATGGAGTAAGCTGAGAGAGGAAGCTCTATTTGCTAGATAATAATTGCAATAATTTACATCAAATAATGATGATAATGGTACTAAGAATAAAGCATGTGCCAGGCCCGCTTCTCATGCTTTACATGTGATCTCTCATTTAGTGTTCAGAACAAACCCGTATGATGTGGGCACAGTTGTGACAGAACATGTTACAGACAGAGGCAACTGAGGCACGGAGAGGTTAAAGCCCTGGATAAACGGAGGAGAATTCTGCTCTCTCTCCCAGCCAGTGTGGCCTCCCCATGCATGTTCCTTCTGTCCTCTTGGTCCTGTCTGGAGCTCTTCTTCCCTCCTCCCCCTCACTGTCTTGGTCTCCATTTACTTCACTCAACTTTGCACGTTGGAGAAGTCGAGGGGGCTGGGAGGGAGGTGGAGGAGGGAAGGCTGTTAGAATCCAGGGTTTCAGTGGAAACGTGGCTGGGGCATCAGAAAGAAACATTCACGGGCTCCTGACATTTGCCTATGGTGGCCTCGCTAACTTCCACAGGACATAAAGTGAGAAAAGCTGCAGGGTGAGGGCACTGAGTCCAGTGTGACCAAGTGTGGGTCTGAGGGACGCATTGACAGTAGTGCTCTCTGTTTGCTTTATGGGCCCTCAAGCCCCAGAGTGCTCAGGCCGGAACCTGTGATCTTGACTTCATTAGGAGCTAAGAACCAAGGTAACCAGTAACCATGTTGCAACTAGGTACTAGGTCTTGCTCTCTAAATCACTCAATTGGTCCTTTAATTTCTTAACGTGATTTCCTTTTCCATCCAGTACCAG